GCCCATCCTCAGCTCCTCTGTGCACCAACACAGCCTCCTCACCACCCCCACAGCCCACACCACACTGGCCTAAAGCACAGCTGCCCATTGCGGGTGTGTCTATTTACACTTCATTTCTCAGGGAAGCCTTCTGTGAGGCCACACCCCGGGGGAGGTCTCCCTGGTCCACACTCTCCCCCGCTATGGCGTATAGTTCTCCATGGAAACTGTCATCCCCTTGCCCCTATCTATTGTTCACGCTGCCCTCCCTCGTGAAGAGTAGCCCCGCGAGCCCCGCGAGCGGCATCACCAGAGCTCCATCTAGCATAGCGAAGACAACAGCTGAGGTTGTGTGTTTGAGGTTTGACTACTCAACTCAGTACTCAAATTACATAAGTTAATCAGGAGCAAATTAGTAGTACATTGTGCCCACTATGTGGATACTTCTGTCCCTAAACTAATAGTGGCCCGCCGCCCTCCGGGGGACTCTAGAACACCAGAATATTTAAGCCTGGCAAAGAGAGACATCACACCTTTTCTCATTTACGCCCCCACCACTAGTGATTACTTCCTCTTAGTCTCTCTCCACCTTGAACTGTCAAATAGGCTTTAAAGTTCAAAGGAGAGAGTAGTTTAATGAACAGCATATGAAATAAAGAACAATAGTATTAGCCTGACAACAGCTCACAGAGGCAATGTATGAGCATTAACTAGTTTGCATGCTTTATCAAGGAAATGCATATGCAGAAATGAAATTTCTTCTTAAATTATTTCCTATTCATTGGAAGTAGTGAGAAACAGTATGAAAAGGGAGGATGTAGCAATAGAGATAAATTAATAAAGCACATAGTTTAGGTCATACTACTCGCTTTACTTTAATATTGGTAATGATAACAAATATCAGAACAATGTAGTAATGTAAGTAATTCCAAAAGGAATTTTGAAGAGGTTAATAATTTCCCATCCCTGTTCATAGTATATTAAACATTGATTGATCAGTAGTAGCTTGAAGGTAGTAGCTTAAAGGTATGAATCAATTAGCAGTCTCCTAGGTGAACGAGCTCTAAACTGAGAATCCAAGGGAATGGTGTGCATTTACACAACTTGGAAAAACAGTGCCATAAATATTTTATAAGAATTACTGCTGTTCTTCAAGAGACAAGTTTCCAGAAATGACCAAGGTAGAAAACGTTTCAGGCAGATCAGTGCAACGTATGGAAAATTCAGTAAAGTTCGCAGGAAGTTCATTAATAACATAGGGAATATAAGTAAATAAATATAAATAAATAAACATAGGAAACAGAAATAAAACTACTTATTTTTAATAAGTAGTTTAAAGTAACATTAAAGTAGTTTTAAGTAACATTTTACAGTATTATAAAGTAATATTTTACAGTAAAAATCCTGTAAAATAAAGATGTATATATATATAGATGTGTGTGTGTGTGTGTGTGTGTGTATATATAGAACTACATTTAATGAATTCAAAAATATGTCTCCACTAGCTAACTAGAACACAATGTAGCATAATATCACTTTTAACTCCACTCTGGGCTTCCCGTTTTGGCAGATTCGCCTCATTGAGGCATTGCAGGAGAACCAGTCATTTCTACAGCATTCATGAGGTCTCCAATGGGGACATCCCTTACAAAGAAAGGCAGAACGATCATAGGTAAATACCTATGTAAATACCTAGGTAAATACCAGTGAAGGGGGAAATCCACAGGGAAAAAAAATAATTATTTACTGATAAATCCGCTCTGCATTTAGTATCTCTTACCCTATATGCATGGCCTCTTGATAGGATACAGGGAATTAGGAGACAGAATAGCAACTGATTCATGTCCATAAGCAGAACTGTCTCTCCCTTTGCTGGGGAGCCCAATGTGCCAGCAGCTCTCAAAAGACGCTCAGATGCTAATTCCAAAAATAACCTAAACATATCCAGGTCACCTGAAATCTGAGACTTGGTATAGTGACAGTTCTAGAAAACTTCTATGAAAGGAATATAAGTCAATAAAGCAGATATATCAAAAATATGCTTAAGCTCAATAGATATTAAAGAGGTGGAACTTTCCAAAGGGAAATAAAGGTAACGATAACAGATAAAAAAGAGATAGCTGTAGATCTGAGAATTTTGTTGCGATAAATTGAATTTTGGGCCCCAGTTTTTGCCCCTCCTTGTGCCCATGTTTTCTTTCAGGTAGCTTTGTTGTTTCTCTTAAAAAGAGAGAAAGATTTCCCCACTCCTTGGAACACAACCTAAAACTTGGTTTGGCCAACAGAATGTGGACAGAAGGGTCTGTTGGTTACACATGGTGGTTTCTGTTTGCCTCCTTGCTCTTTTGCCATTGCCACAAGAACGTGAGCAACACGTGGGGCAGAGCTGAGTCCATCTCACAGAGACACCTGGCCAGACCTGCACCTAGAAGCAAAGCCGCCCAGCCAAGTGTGGCCTTGGCTGACTGTCCTCCCCCCTCGTGTACGTGCATGGAATGAACAAATGCTTCTGTCTGGATGGTACTCAGATTTGGTGGTTTTCTGTTACACAGCACTATTCTGACAATAGCTAAGTGATACACTTACACATTAAAATGAGAAAAAGGGTACGCCTTTCCCTTAGGAATCTGGAAAAATATTTCTCTCTTCCCGAGATTGACTGTTCACTCTTTTACCAGGAAATCAGCAAATTCACATCTGATTGATCTAGAGAGTTACATCCAATGAGTTCCTTCAAGGTTGGCCACTGACTCACTTTCCTCCTTCCTATACTAACAATCATATTAACGTTCAAATGTTTACCCTTTCCTCTCATGTGCTGGGGATATTAATGACTGTGACCTCATCTGTAAACTTGTAGAATTAAATTACACCAGTGGTTCTTGAATGTCCTTTGGGTCCCAGGGTTCCAAGCAGGTGTCTGGAGGAGACAGCATGACGGAAGCAGAGGAGGAAAAAGCTAAATGGTTGAAGTGCTAACCTCTCCATCAGCAAAACTCTGTTTTAATCTATCTTGGATATTGAGAACATTGAGATTTTACTTAGAAAATTAGTTGCTCTGCTTAAAAAATAAAATTAAGAACCACTCGACAAAATGTTTTTTAATGTCTCCTCACACTGAAAACACTGTGCTTAGGAGTTTTGTTTTGGCCACTTCCATCTCTTCATCACTACCGCCATGAACCCTAACTTAAGATGATCACCTCAGCTCCCATCACAACTTCCTGACGTACTCCCTGCGATAAGTTATAAATTATGCCATTTCATTCCCCTGCATCAAATTAGAGTAAAACCACAACTGGTGGGGCCTCGGGCTCGGCCTTTCTGCAGTCTGATTTCCTGGCTCTTACCTCACCTGCCCATGTTGGCTTAAACACACCCAGCTCTTTCCCCCTCATAGTCTTCTCCCATGCTGGTGCCTCTGTTTGGAACACTCTTCCCCTACTCTTCCCATGTCGACTTTTTATTATCCTACAGTTTTCCATTGCTAAGCCACCGGGCTTTCACGGATCACTCAAACAAATGCAGGTCCTGTCTGCCTCCATTATTCTCCATGACAACATGGAAGTTGCGCCCTCTTCTTTGCACTCACCATGACTTGCACTTACAGGAGCATTTGCTGGCTACTTTTATTATTTGACTTTCCATTGAGTATGAGCTCCATTATTTTTGCATTCCCAGGACCCAAAGCCTTGCCTGGCATATGGTATATGCTCAATCACATGAATGAATAAGTGACTTCCTTAGCTTTTATCAACAGGCCTTTTTTTCATTACCACCTGCCTACGCTGTATAGTATTTCCCTGTTAACACGTGGTCCCAGTCTCTGATGTGCTCACACCTGATCGCTCTCTTAGTTACCTTCCTTAATTCATGTATGGTGTTCCTTCTACCCCTGAATGTCAGAATTTTCCCTTTCAACTTGCTTTATTCACCATACCACCCTCTTCTTATCCTTTTGGCACTGATGGCCACGATCGGATCTGCTCTAGAACATTATTACCAAGCTAATCCTGTATCTTAAAATTAGATTATACTTGGAATGAACTTAACCATAACAGTTATTCAATAAATGTGATCCGATAGAAGTAAATGCTCTATGCTATTTGTCTGAGGTGAGTGAGGGCTTCGGGGAATGCCCAAATTTCAAGTATCGTAACCAGCATATAGTTTCAAGTAAACAATGACCGAAGTCCTAACTAATTTCATTATCCTTTGTCAGAAGAAGAGACAGAAATAAGTGTCTGGTTTGTGTATATTCTAGGAAATAGGGACCCGATGGACAAGAATATGGCGTGTCTTCCCAGTGGTGCCCCGAGCAGAGACAGCAGATCTGAAGAATGGTAACATTATGATCATTAGAGGAGTGAAGTCTGTGGGGGGCGGTAGGTTGGTCATGAGCTCTCACGACACTCTGGATGCTCTGAGAGTAGGCAAGAGGCTTCTGGCTTCCAGAAAGAGAATTCTCCCAGAAGTGAAAAAATTGGCATCTTGGCTTAGACCAAAATGTCTTAGTGAGTTTGTTTGGTATGAGTCAAGTTAGAAAAATTCAGTGTATCCTGAGTGAAGTGAAAACATTTAGTTTCCTTATCTACAAAGCTGAGAACCACACTGTAAACCACAGTTCAAAAGGAAAGGTCCCCGGCCGCAGACGTCGGTAGACAACAACTCCACGGTGCCCGGCTTCCGCCCTCATTTATGAGGGGTGCCGTTTCTATGGTTGTCTATCTTTGGCAATTAGATGATGTACTTTTGTGAGCAAATGATTACACAAAATGGAGTCAGATAATATGAGCATTTTGGGTCACCAAGGCAATTGGACGTTCGTTTGAGCCGAGACACAATTCTGTAGCTTCAGCATATGCTCGTGGGTGTGACGTAACTAGGGTTTCCCTTTTATCCAAACGAAGAAGTTGGATAACATCTCGACAAGCTGGGGGGTCACCAACTCTCTGCAGTAATCAGCACAGGGAAAAATTCAGGAAGGAAGGGATTAAGGAAAATGACAAAAATTTTCAAACCTGGCACTGATATCTTCCCCACGGTTGGATGCTTCAACTCCATGATGAGGCCATTGTGTAACACCTTTAAATGTAAAAACAGACAGGAGAATAAATTATAAAATAAAACTATGTAGTCTCAAGGAGTTCGAAAAGCCTCCTATTTGGCCCATTGAAGAAAAGATATTGCAAAACATAGAGATGTTTGGAATTTTAATTTGGAAGTAAATGTTTTATTTTATTTTTTTAAAATTTTTTACTTATTTATTTGACAGATGGAGATCACACGTAGGCAGAGAAGTAGGCAAAGAGAGACGGAAGCAGACTCCCCGCTGAGCAGAGAGCCTGCTGTGGGGCTCGATCCCAGGACCCTGGGATCATGACCTGAGCCGAAGGCAGAGGCTTTAACTCACTGAGCCACCCAGGCGTCCCTGGAAGTAAATATTTAAAATAACAATATTTCTGTCCTCTATTAAACCAAGTGAAGCCAAAAAGAATTAGAAGATTCCAGGACTAACAAACTGCATTTTTTAATAAAGTCTTCCCATTCTTCAAAATGTTATTTGCTCCTAAGTATAGGGTATGATTACCCCCCGCCTTTCATCTATGTTTGATCCTCTAAATAATAAAGTTTGGCCTCTTCCTGCATTACCTCACTGCAGGACATGGCCAAAGTCAACTGCAGAAGGACAGAATGCGAGGAGAACCAGGACCTGGAAAAGAGCAGCCCATTGGGATGGTATATGTGTTCCCGGCAATGTATTCAGTGGAAGGTGTGGGGAGACAGACCAGTTTGAAAGGTGAACCAGAACTAGAAGGCCCAGTGGCTGCTGCGAGTGGACAGATTCAGGGCTGCTCTTACCAGAGCCAGGAGCCCCGAGTGGACTCAGGTCAGACACTTGAGCAGGAGACGGAAACCAGACATGTTTTCAGTGGTAACAAGACCATAACGATCAGACTAGATCTCAGAACGATGAGTCAGTAGGAGCTGGCAAGGAGAAAACTGAGGAAAACAACAACAGCAACAACAGAGACCCCATCCTAGAGGGCTGGTTAGACTCCCATGCATGGCGACCAGGATCAAGAACACGAGGCAGACTTGACCTCAGGGTTAAGACACAAGGCCAGTTACTAGGCCAGGGACATTCTATCAGGACCAGAGAAACAGAAATGTGACTTGATGTTGAATTGCTTGATCACTGGAACAGAGCTACCTAAATCCTTGGCTTTCATTTTTCCTACAGGGTAGGTAGGAATCCAGAATGTGGCAGGGATCAAGCGTCCTCCAACTGTGGGTGGAGGATGAGACGGGGACATGGAACTTGATTCTAGAACCTGAAATCTGAATTATGGGAGGCAAAAATGTTTGGTCAAACACAAACGAAAATGCTACAAAAGTTGTTTTCCTTTGTTTATTTTATTTTTTTTAACAACTGAAGGCTACCTGGGTATACTGTCTCAAAGAAACCCCAAATTCAATTTACTATTCGTATTACTGAATGTTCACTGAGACTGAATTGATTTCACCTGTACTGCCTACCAAATGGAGAGCTTCTCTCTTCCCATTCTGTGCAGGGATCTAAGGGGCAGAAGGGATTGAGTGGCACAGTAAACTTACGGACCAGGCTTTCATGCTAATATCCCAAAGAGCCACATGTTGTGATGGTTCTACAGGATTTTGAGCTTCAGGTAAAAACAACATGTGCATATCCATACCCTCATCATAGTCTTTTCACACAGAGTTAAAAGAGCATGGAATTAAAAACAAACAAACAAACAAACAAACAAAAACTAACAAAAATGATTTCTCATTTGGACAACCCAGGGGAAAGAGGTCAAAATTCTTGGGCTCTCTCCAAGTCGAGGGAGCTTTTTGGTCATGTTACGGAATAAGCCAGTAAGACAACCTCGCAGGTGACATTTTAAGGTTATAAGTATGACCCTGCTGCGTCTCAATATTCTGGGGCACCACTGTTTTCTTTGGGAACGGTCACCACCTTTGGGGCAATGCTCTTTAAACAACCCCGTCAACCCCCCCTCAGCGAGGGTGATGCCACACCATATGGAGATCCTTTCTAGGGATGCCTTGCCTCTCTTTTGGAATCACCAGCTTTGCACCCAGGAGCTGGCCAGAGAAAATTCTTGCCAGTGTTAGAACTGAGCTATAATTTAACTCTGGTGTGGCTCGTTCTCAGCACCCGCCCAGCACAGCCTCCTCCTATGTGGGTGTGGGGGCTAAATGCCAAGGCGAGGTGCTAAATCTCAGTTCTACTGAGGACAGGAACAAAAATACCAAGCTAAATTTCACTCGAAACAATTATCTGCACACTGAATCATTCTTCTCTTCTCCTATCTGTTGCCCTCCTGACTACCTCTTCGTAATAACACTGCAGTGCTACTCACAAAAGACAAAAGTGAGTGTTCTTTAGCTAAATATAACTTAACTGATACTGTTGAAATTAATTAACGCTGAATTCTAATCGTGGTGGAAACGTTAAGTGTCAAACGTGAAAGGGTAGTTGGTAAAGGTCAAGGGACATACGTCAAAGTTTTGTGCAAGCAAAACCTCACAGTTGATTGAAGTTTCTTGGGGAAGCAGCTTAAAGAAGGTACTTCCTTCGGCCCTCCCCTCATTACTGTCTGTATATGATCTTCCCGACAGGAAACTTTGTAATCCAGCCTCATCACTTCCCTTGCATCGAAAATCACTCAGTTTCAGGCAGAAATATAAATCGTTCCCATGCTTGGCACAGGAAGTTAACTGCAGCTTTTCATTTGCTATAGCGTTTGTACAGTTAGGAAATAAATGGGCTAGCCTGCGCCCCCATCTTCAGAAAGCACGGACCAATTCCCCTGCTGGGTCACTAGCCACTTTTATGGAAAACCGTGAGTCAATACAATTCCATAGGCTTCCTTCGTGAATCAGGTCAGATGATCTCAGGGAACAATTGAAGCCGGAGCCCTGCTGTCCCTGGAAACCCTGCCTAATGACTCGGAATCTTGGAAAACTCTCCAGCCTTGTTTGTGGGGCGAGTCCTGCTCTGTTTAGTAACATATTCGAGAATCTCAGAACCCAGGCAGTCTGTCTGAATTTCAGCATAAATTTCTCCTCCTGCACTTCAAGCATATTGTCTCCCCCTAACTTCATTGGAAACACAGGACCTTGGCATGCACCAGCATTCAGATAACATTTCCTTGGCAATGGTGACGAAATGTTCCCCATTCCTTTTCTCACCAGGGCTCAACACCCTAAACTCTTATTACCTTAACCTAGAAATTCAGATTGAAAATGTTTCATTTTCTGACCACTCACAATGGAATGGGGACCTCAGCTCTAGAGGCCTCCGATACCATCTTCTCTTAAGGCAATATCATGGCTGGAACCCCTCAGCCTGGCTATTTGGTGCATTTGGGGTACACATTTAGTTATTTTTAAATGAGGCAAAGAACCTTCCCTAGAACTTTGCCCTGAATGTTGTCCTTCTTTTCCTTATTTTATCCTCCCTAGATTTCTTATGGTGGGGTAGCTCTTCTAAATTTCATTTTTTCTCTTTATAATTGCAAAAGCCTATTCCTGACAAGAATAGAATTGTAGCGAGTGCACCAATCTCTTTAGCAAAGTATCAGGCCGATTTAAAATAAGGTTTTTCTTTCTTCTTCAAGAGTTTCACAGATTGACAGCCTAATGACAGAGTCAAATGGTAATGTATTAATGATGGGGGTGGGGGGAAGGGTAAAATGTATACCTTAAAGTGATGTGGGAAATAAAAGTTTAAGTGAAAGTAGGAAAGTCTTTTGAATAGTCCTATAGCAGGAGTGGCAGACCCAGTCTGTAATACAGCACTAACAAGAAAAGAAATGTAAAAAATAAAAAAGCAATACCCACTCTATAGGTGGTGAAAATCTCTAAGGAAAGCAAGAGCTCTGGGTCAAGAGTAGAAGTAGCAAAACGTACACAAAGGAGAAGAGACAGACTGCCGGCATTAAGTGACATACACGAATGGTATGTGTAAAGATATTGAAAATCAATATAATCCCACCAATGACATTAACCGTGTTGTGCAATAGCGACCTGACCTACCCCCCAACGTTGAACAGAGACGTGACCTATTCATTCCACTGAACAAACATCACAGAGCACCTATATATTAGACAATAGGATGGGGCTGGCAGTAAAAAGATGAATGAACTTGCATTCAAAGTGCCTGTAATTAGAAGGGAGGGTTGGGAATAAGAGACCTGAGCCAATTTTTACAGCAGTTTAAGCTCCATGTGAAGGAGCAAAATCCAATAAGTAATAAGTAAGTGACTTTGTCTACCTTGGGAAGAAGCTGCAGGACCTAGTAAAAAGCACTGCACAAAGACAGTATCAAAATAAAATGTGAGGTTAGCAATCGCAAGGATAAGTAGAATACCAACAGTTATTGCCCACAAAACTCCTTAAGAGTCAGGCATTGTGTTACGAGGGAAAGAGCTGTCTCCGTCCAATCGTCTGATTAAGTAGACCAGGTAGGAATTACTCTCATCTGCATTTCTCCTGATAGGTGATGGAAGCCTAAAGAGGTCGAGAACTTGCTCAAGGTTCACAGTTAATAAATGGTTGACTCTGGATTATAATTAAGGTATGTCTGACCCTAACCTCTTAGCCAGTTGGAGACTCAGTAAAAGAAAAAAAAAAAAAAAGTCAAGCATAATTTGATTTACCATTAAAATAACTAGCTGATGTGGTCAATTCTGTAAAACAAATTAGTCAATTTGCTGGGGAAAGAAAATCAGCCAAACGGATTGCTTGGCATCATGTAGCCCAATTAGTTAATAAACTGAGCTGCTCCCTTCCTGGGAGCCAAGGCTACCACAGATACAGAGGCTCTGAAAAGAGGAAGGATTTTGGCCCTAGCCTGGCTCAGATTTTGAAGAGGACAGACCCAGCAGGTGACCTTGGGCAAGGCACTTACATACTCTGAGGCTCAAAACCCTCCTCAATAAGAAGATAGCAATAATATCTCTTTCTCAGGAGTTCGTAAGGATTAAGCAAGATACGAGTATAAAACGGCGAGCATAGCACCTTGGACAGAGTAAACTCAC